ATTCAAAAGGTAAGGAACAGGTGAGATTAATTTTAGTACTCACGCCCAAAACTAAACTCACCGCCACTGGTCCATTTCAGTGCTTAGCAATGCTGCAGGACCAGTAGACCTGTCTTTGTGGATTTCTGAGACTGTACCTGTTGATGGGAGCAGAGACTCATCTTTCTCCTGAGCGGCCTTTGCTTTTGAACTGTGGACCTGTTGTTAGTCGGCCCACATGTAAGCCCTGTGCCACCTGGGCTCCTGATAATAGCTCTTACTTACGGTGATCTAGTCTAAATATGATCTAATCAATATAAAGATTAATGAGCAGTCCTGTCCATTTTTTCTTGCGCAGTCTTTGACAGCTGGGCTCTGTCTATTTCTGTCCGATCTCACCAGCAACATTGCAAGTGATCAGGGGCAACCTGTGGCTAGTGGCTACGATTTTGGACAGCGTAGTGCTAGAGTTCACCAAAGCCATCAGCTTTTGTCCACATTTTTTCTAGAATGCTCTTCCAGAAAGTCTTTGTGCCTCTGGATGTCTTTTGAAAATGCTTCCGCACCAGCGACAGCCCGCAGAGCGCAGGGGTGCTGGCCGACCGGCTGTGCTGTTTGCCGGCTGTACAGAACATACAGTGTGAAGTGTCGTCCCGTGGTTTCTAGACATGAAAGCCGGCCTTTGTTTTTCCTAGATCTCTGGTTCCAAGAATGTTACTTACATTTCTTGGAAAGCTCAGCATGCTTATCTATAAAAGTAGGATTTGTAACTGTTTTCATGGAGATTCAATGCACTAATAGTTAGGACGTGCTTGGAGAATCATTGGGAGGGTACAGGGAAAGAAAAGGCATTGCCTGTTTTGTTTTTTTAGCTTCTTTTTAAAAAAAATCATTTTATTGGGGGCTCATACAATTCTTATCACAATCCATACATACATCAATTGTGAATGTACACATTTGTGCATTTGTTGCCCTCATCATTCTCAAAACAGTACCTGTATTTCAATGTAAACGAGTGAGGAAGAAAGCCTGAACAATCAACCAACCTGCTGTTGTGAGTCTGACTCACGTTGACCCACAAGACGGTAGAACTGCTGCTTCGAGACAGTGAATCTTTACAGCAGTCTCATCTTTGTCCGGTAGAGAGCACCTGGTGGGTTTGAATCACCAAACCGGCAGTGAGCAGCTTGCTGCTTAACCTGATGTGCCACCAGCTCAAGCTACTTATAGAGGATTTCCTTTGTGCCATGCACTGTTCTAAGGCTTTGCACATTTTGTATGACTTAATTTGATAATTACAAGAACTGTAGTTTGCTGATATTGTTCAGGATAGAAAACTAAGGAAGCATGGATTTAAGAAATCAGCACAAGGCACGTAGCTAGTTGAGCTAGAATGGGAATGCCATTTGGAATCGGTATGCTCTGCTCCCTCAGCATCAAGGAGCAGTCGTCAAATGAGTTTTCTTTAGTAAATTTAAAGAAAAGGAGCTTCTTTCTCTTTGCTTCTGAAGTTCAATTTCCATGGAAGCAGGCTTTCGATCTTGCCAGTTGCTTTTTCTTAGGTTTTAACATAGACCACCTCTACAGGACAGAGGAGAACTGCTCCTTACTTAGAATTTCTGAGGCTGTGAATCTCAACGGAAGCAGGCAGCCCATCATTCTCCTGCCGAGCGGTGGGTTTGAACCTAGCAGTTAGTAGTATAATGCATAGCTCACAGTTTCCCGTAAATCACCTAAGAGATGAAATGTGTCTTTTTAAAATTTATTTTGGAGAATAGCACTCAAACTCACTGTCATTGAGTTGATTCCAACTCACAGTGACCCTGTAGGACAGGGTGGAATCGCCCCTATAAATTTCCGAGACTGTAGCTCGTTAGGGGAGTAGAAAGCCCTGTCTACTAAGTCTAAACCAGCTGAGTCTCTGAAAATGTGCCCAGCTGTAGAAGTTTACCTAGCGGGTGTAGGCTCACCTGTGGGACAGGTAAACAATGCAGGTCCTGCTAGTTCAGGTGCCACGAGTGATTTTTTTTTTCCCAAGCTTTGCTCCGGGTGAATCTTGATTTTGCCTCCCTCGTTCTTTTTCCCAGCAGCACCATCTGCTCTCAGTCCTGGCCTTCCGTGTGCCGATGCGGTCTATGTAAACAGTTATGTCTGGCTTGCTTTTTGTTACATCAGGAAGTTATTTATGAAATACTCCCAAGATTAAAGCGTATAGCTAGTATCCCTCCATAGACTCACTCACAGGATTTAGCACATTTTAACAGTTTCTTATTTTTGCTTCAGTTTTTTTAAAAAAATGATTTTATTCTTTATAAAGAAACCATACTTGAGTAGTGAGGAGCTCCCTCACTTCTTCTAGCCCCCTTCCCTCTTCCCTGTCTGAATTTGATCATGTAGCTTTTACACACATGCTTTCATGCTGAATACTTGAGTCTAGGCCTCAAAACAATGCATTGAAGGCATAGCCACCATTTTCACATTGATGTTTTCCCTCGACGGCTGGAACGCATGCCTTTGGTGACATGTCTGAGAACTCTTGACCAAGCCCTAGGGCCCCGAGCGTTCTTCCCTAAAAGTATGATGGTTTCATATTTAAATCTGTAATTTTTTTCTTTCAGGTAATTTTTGCCTATCGATGGGCACTTTCTCCAGCACCACTTGTCCCAAAGACTGTCTCTTCTTTTGTTGAAGGGCTTGTGCACGTTTGTCACACACGAGTGGGCTGTGATTGGTCTTGTTTGGTGGGTGCCTAGCCTGTCACTTGGCCAACAGCCGAGTTGACAATATGAACAGCAAAGCACACCAGCCCAGTGCTTTCCACGTGCAGTGCGCTGGCGTGGCTACCTTTTTTGAGTTGGCAGCCATTCTCCCCCTGCTTTTTGGGTGGCTCCTTCCCGAGTAGCGGAAGCCGTTGCTCCCTCAGCTTCCCTGGCTGATCTTCTGGCTGCAGTGACCACTTTGGTCCCATAGAGAGTGATGCTCAGCTCCCAAACCATCAAACTCACTGCCATCAAGTTGATTTTCTTCTCAGAACAACCTAATAGGACAGAGTAGAAGTTGTAAATCTTTATCCACAAAGCCTACGGCGGGTGGGTTGGCACTTTGTTTCACAACCCATTGGAAAACCCACTGTGTCACCAGGGCTTCTTAGACATTTAGCTTTCTTTTTATCCTTTTTCAAACACTTTAATCGCGATGCATTTCAGAGACTATCGAGTTCACCCATTTAAGGTACCCAGTTGAATGAATTAGACATTGTTTACAGAGAGGCGCAGCCAGCATCACATTGGGAACATTTTCATCACTCCAGGACAGAAGTCCTGGTTCCTCAGATAGTTCAGCAGAGACTAGCCATGATGCACTGTTCTGTGGAGTGGCTGTGGTTCAGGGTGATGACGTTTCTGAATCACAGATGTCAAGGGAGTTTTGGTGCTGCGCCCTTTTCATGATTGCTGGTACATCTGAGTGCCTTTCCACTTGGGGTCAGGTCATACTCTGTTGTCAGACACAGGGTTTTCATTGGCTAGTTTCTGGGTAGATCGCTCTGGAAGCTCTGCTGAAACCTGCCCAGGATGGGGTGGCCTTGTGGCAGATGGAAGAACAGTGGCTTAGCTTCCAGCCTAATCACTCTGTTCTTGATTATTGCAACTAACAAGTCCTGAAATGGAGCTGCCAGTCCTCCCATTTCCTTCTGGCTTGTCAAAATTCTTTTAGCTATTCCAGTTCCGTGGCCCTTTTGTGTAAGTTTGTATAATAAGGTTGTGCACAGATACAAAAAGTCTTGCAGGGATTATGATAGGAATTGTATTTCACCCATTTGTTGATTTGGGAGAAAGAATCATATTAGTGGTATAGGCTTTTATTACTATTATTTTTTAAATAGTGACTTAACAGGGCGGGAGGGGAAAATGAGGAGCCGATACCAAGGGCTCAAGTAAAAAGCAAATGTTTTGAGAATGATGATGGCAACAAATGTACAAATGTGGTTGACACAATTGATGTATGTATGGATTGTGATAAGAGTTGTACGAGTCCCCAAAAATGATTTTTTTTAAAAGTGACAAACATAGTCTTCATCACGCATGCATGTAGTATATTTACATGTAATATAATTATATATACACAAACATATATTTTGTTTGATCTGTTACCTTTCTATTTGGCCAGTTTTAAGCTTTTAAAAAAAATCTTTCAGATGGCTTAAATTTATCTTGTTCTATTTTTGTTCTGTGTGTTTCTTACGTTCCTTTTAGCTTTAGCACATGCATCTTTGTATTGCATGTTTTAAACTGTACGCATTCTTCCCATTCTGTGTACTCCCTCTTGACTTAACATCCTTGGTTACGCATTTCATTTTCTGCCTCTCTGTACTTCTCTTTCTGTGCCTCTCTGTATGTTTCCTTTGCTCCTCTGAAACATCTTGCCTCTGCAAATATTAGAAGGGATCGGATGGATGCTTGTATACATCGTATCCGGATTTCCCACTTGTCACTTTGGGTCACATCTGTGTCTGTCTGTCTGTCTGTCTCTGGGTGTATCAATCATTGAAGGTTATATATGTGTTCTCTCGCTTCCTTCCCTCTTGTTGGTCTACTTGAAGCACAGCCTTCTTAGAGCTCCTACTATTAAGGGACCCCCCGCCTCCACCCTAAAGAACGAAAACACCAGTATCTGTGGGGATTCTAGGACTGGTCAGCCGGAGGTCCCTGCCTTAAGCCCTGGGCTGTTGCGTGCATGCTGTGGGAATGTCTGTCTCCCCACTTCCTACTGAACCCCCCCTCCCTTTGGCTGCCTGGAGGGCCGAGCTAGCTCTTAGGAGTCTCTTCCTGGAATTGAAGTAAATTCTCAAAGTGCATCATTCATTGAAGTGTAACTTAATTTTGTTGATCTTAATCACTGCTGCATACCATGTTTTTTTCCCAAACAGTGTTAGTTTTTTTCAATTTTACGTATTCATTTTGTTGGTTCATGCCCACATAGTTAAAGATGTGGTTATTAATCCCCTTTCCCCTTCTCTCCAGTACAGAGACGAAGCTGTTGGAGGAGGCAACCATCACCGTCTGCAGATCTCTAGGTAAGGGGAGCGTGTTTCCTTCATTGCAGCCTGCAAATCTCTAGGTAAGGGGAGCATGTTTCCCTCATTTCAGTCTGCAAATCTCTAGGTAAGGGGAGCATGTTTCCTTCATTGCAGTCTGCAAATCTCTAGGTAAGGGGAGCATGTTTCCTTCATT